AGGAAAAAACTATGCAGCTGATTTTTGTGTAATGCATATATATAGGTGCAATTTACATCTAGTTTTTCTTTTTGTCTAAGTTCTGATTGTATTTATTTATGTTTGGTTATATATTGTGTCCTATTGCCCCGCTGCTTTGTGACTCAATCCAGTAGACACTTATTTAAGATCATGGTGTTCTGGGTCAGGGAGCCAGGACACAGTGGACACTGCTCTACACAGCCGGCAGCCTCAGTGGAGGTGGCTCAAACGTCTGGTGTTGGCTGCAGCAGGGCAGCGAGGTAGGCAGAACCTTAGCTCTGGGCCTTCAGTTCCAGCTTCTTTTCCATGCCATGTGTACTGGTCTAGAGTGTCCAGAATGACCTCTTTACTCCTGTGTCTGACACCTGAGCTAAATAACTGAAACAGTGGGGGCTGGGAACTTCTCTGTCTCCCCTTCCCCATATGGCTAGCTTATCCCTTTGAACATCAGAACTCCAGGTGGTCTGGTCTTTGGCCTCAGACAGAGATTTGCATTGATTCCTCTGATTCTCAGGCTTTTGGGCTACTGACTTCTGTGTTTCTCCAGTGTGCAGATGACATATTATGGGATGTGTCATGCTCCATAACCGTGTGGTTAACTTGCATAGCAACTCCCTTCTCATATATTTGTATATATATATATATACATATATATATATATATGTAGTATTGATATATATGATATATATAGTATTGATATATGTATATAGTATTGATATATATTATATATAGTATTGATATATGTATATAGTATATATTGATATACTATATATAACATATATATTTTATATATATTATGTATATATAATATATATATAATTGATTCTCTCTGGAGAACCCTAACGCACGAGGTAGGCTTTATTAAAATCAGACATTGATGTACCAAAACTTCTCTGAAGCTGTTTGGCCAGAACAATGTCACTTCAAAGAGCAGAAGGAAACCTGTTTTCAAACCTCTTTTGAAGTTCATACCTGCTTTAAAAAGACCACATGATATACTATATAACATATATATTTTATATATATTATGTATATATAATATATATATAATTGATTCTCTCTGGAGAACCCTAACGCACGAGGTAGGCTTTATTAAAATCAGACATTGATGTACCAAAACTTCTCTGAAGCTGTTTGGCCAGAACAATGTCACTTCAAAGAGCAGAAGGAAACCTGTTTTCAAACCTCTTTTGAAGTTCATACCTGCTTTAAAAAGACCACAGATAGTATCTCTTTCTAACTCAGCATACAGGGATTTCACCTTGGTAACTGGAAACTGCAATATGGAAGTTGGCAAAATTGGGATGTTTTTCCTGGAGAACCAATTGTTCAACCTTTCCTACACATCACTGTCTGAAAATCAGGTGAGATTTCAAACATTGCAACTTCACACACCTTACTACCTCCATGAACTTCCTATGGAGATCAGTAGCTCTCCTCTCTCGCTGCACATCAGAATCACTTCAGAAGGCTTGTAAAACGTCAGTGTCCAGGCCCTCAACAAGAGAAGCTGCATCGGGATCTCTGGGGCAGTACCAGACACTGAGATTGTCAATGTGATACCCCCATCCAGGTAATTCCAGTATGCAGTCAACACTGAGAGCCACTGACTAACTTAGATTCTGCCCACCAAACTTCCTCTGCTGACCACCTAGATTTTTCTTAATTATTTTCAAAACTAATAAACCCAAAAAGGCACTAAATATTGCCTGCCTTGTACAACAGAGAAAAAAATGAGAAGAAATTATTAGAAATCAAGATAACTTGCCTCAGAGAATTCAGAACCACCAAAGTCTAAGGAGAGTAGCTTCGTTATGCTACATCTTGGACCTGGAAGGCCCTTCAGGGGCTCATGTGTTAGAGAGCTGGTGTCCAGTTTGGTGCTATTGAGGGGGATGAGGGGAAAGGGTAGGCACAGTGGGAAGTCTGTAGGCCATAAGGGTGTACCTTGAAGGGGATAATGGGACTCCAGCTTCTTTCTTCTCCTCTCTTTTTCTTCCTGGTCATGAAGGGAGTGGTTTTGCTCATCATGCAGTATTGCCTTGCCACAAGCCCAGAACAATGTGCCCAAGTGACCATGGCTGGTGACCTCCAATACTATGAGAAAAACAACCCTTACCCTTTACAAGTTGGTTTCTCTCAAGTTGGTAGTTAAAGCGTGCCAGACAAGAAGAGATGGGAGTCTTCTGGAGACTTTAGAATCTTAACCAGTTATCATAGTAAACCTGAAATATGCTCCTATAATTATCTGAAATAAAGTGTCATACTTGAAATCAGTAATTTCACCACTTTTCTGTTAAATGTACATATTTCAGAGGTCCCAAGTAGAAAAATCATATATATTTTTAAAACATCTTGGACACATACACACATTAGTGTATTTCTTAAAGAAATAATGCATAGCATTATGTAACAATTTGTCTACTAATGTTTATTTTCATAATGTTTGGTAAATAACTTTTCTTTCCTTTTTTCCATTGGACATGAATAAGCTGAATGTGTCAAAAAGCTGCTGTTTATTAGCACAGTCTGAACAAGCATGTGGGAACCTCACAGAAAAAGAAAAAGGAATCCTGTACATTTACACACAATTTAGTCATAGGATCATTTTCACAAAATAGATGTTACCTGTCATCAAATTTTGTCCTTGTATATAGACCTCATATGTGAAAGCATCAAGTTATTTCAAAGAGCATTCTCCAACCCTTTTCTTTTCTATAATAGAGCCACAGCCATAGAAGAATACAAGGTACCTACATTTGCTGTCCTTTTACTTTAAAGGAAATGAGAAGCTTACAAAGCAAGTCAGCCTGAGCGTAGATTGGCTGGAGTCCAGCGGTGTCACTGTGCCTCAGCTCTAGACCTAAAGGAGACTGCCATAGCAGACACGTGGGCCCCTTCTGGTATCCTCAGCAGGTGTTTCATTTCAGGATGCTCAACCCCCAGTTGCTGTGGTGCCAGTCTTTCCAGAGGGGGCACTTCCTGGAGCACAGGTGCCCAGGATCAACTCACAGCCAGGTGAAGCTCCAGAGCCTGCTTTGGGACCAAGCCAGAGTTAGTATTCCAGAGGCCCCAGAGAGAGATGCCGACAGCCCACAACTACAATTCAGAATTCAGAATGCGATTTCCTTGAAACCTTATCCCCACCTGTGCCTCCTCTGCTAACAGGTTTCTCCATTCCTGAGCACTTATGCACAGCTTCCTGTGTTAAACACTGCCTGCCCAACCTAAGACAACAAACTGTCCACTCTTCTAAAGTCTCCCCTGCCCAAACCAGCTTGCTTTCACACCTCTGAGTACCTGTTCCCTCTGGACACCCAAGGACAGATACCATTTTAGCCATCCTGTCTCCACCCATGCCCTCCAAGGTTGTCCCTGGGACAGATAAGATTCCTTGCACCTGTTTTCCTCCTGAGTAAAGCAGTGTTCCAGAGGAATTAAGACTAGGAGTCAGGAGAAGAACCTGACTCATCCTGGGGTGACCTGTTCTCAGAGTAGGAGGATGCAACTATGCCGCTTACTAAGCTGCAATTAAAAAGTACCTGAGGCTGCTGGCTGCTTTTTAGTCAGCTTGGATACTTTTGAATGAGGCAGTGATTCTTATGAGTGTAAGCTTTCTAACTGCAGAAAGCCTATGGGGTTCAGGGAGACAGAGCTTGCCCGAGTTAACTCCTTGGTTGTCAGCTTGCCACAACTAAGCTACTTTTATAGAACGCTGCTTTAATCTTTTACAGACAGACAGACAGACAGACAGAGGCAGGTTCCCCTCAGCTTTCTTCCAACTCAGCAGATACTTAAGGGAAGAGGCACTTCAAGTCAATAGGCGCTAAGGAGAAGAATGTCTTTGATGAATTCTCTCTTTATTGTGGCTTTTCTGCCTCTCTTATACCTAATCTTTGTTTTCTCTCTCTCTCTCTCTCTCTCTCTCTCTCTCTCTCTCTCTATTTCTCTCTCTCTCTCATACACACACACACACACACACATCAGTTTCTCATGAGCCCTTCCTCAGGTTCAACTATCTGCTATGGAGGCTCCCGAGTCTCAGGAAAGTGCTTGAGTGACTGTTACTTGTTTCCTATAAAAGGCACACTTGAGGCACAGCCATGTGGAGGCGATGCATAGAGCAGGGTGTGGGCAGAGTGACTGTTACTTGTTTCCTATAAAAGGCACACTTGAGGCACAGCCATGTGGAGGCGATGCATAGAGCAGGGTGTGGGCAGAAGGGACAGGGTAACCGTGTGTCTCCTCTGCCCATGCCACCTTTCCTGTGTTGGAGCACTCAGAACCCTGTTCTTTGGAGAGTTTGTGGCAACTTCATTACATTTGCATGATTGATTACTTGATTGGCCACGGTGACCAACTCAATGTTCAGCCCACCCCTCTCTATTCCCTGGAGCTCTGAGGAAAGGGCCAAAAGTTGCAACCTTCTAAACCCACGTCTATTCCTCTGGCAGCCAGTTCCCATCCCGAGGCTATCCAAGGGCCACCTGTCACCTCACTGGCATACAAAGACACATTGTGGAGATTCCAAGGTTGACAGAAGTTCTGTTCCAGGAATGAGCATGGAGACACAATATATATTTCTTCTTATAAGACACAATGTCACAGATATGCTCTGGATGTTATACCTGTAGGGTTGTAGCCTCAGTCTGTTATCATGTTTCATGGTAATAAGGAGCTAATATCCAATTTTCTCAAACCCAGAGCTATGGACTCCCAGTGATGCCAGGTGCAAGCCACCGCGAATAACATGGTCTTTCCTCCTTAAGCACAACTGCACTCAGATACTCAAGGAGAATTTACACACATACACACACACCAGCATGTATATATGTGTGTGTGTGTATATATATATATATTACATAGTATATATACACACACATGTGTGTATATACATATATACATATGTGTGTACACATACATACATACATATATATACATATATACATATTTCATAGTAGAATGCAGATTTTGCATCATTTCTGAAAAATGCAAAACTACAAAATAGCTTAATTACTAGTATACTTTGGTCAGTGTTCCCAGACCTTGAGTCAGAATACTTTACTCTGTTACAGTCTTAATATCTGTGCCCCTCCACCCCACTCCTATGTTGGACCCCTAAACCCCAAGGCTATTAGAAGGTCCTGCCTTGAGAGGTGCTCCTATCACGAGGGCAGAGTCTTCAGATCAGCCTGGGATCGCTGTCCTTCTAAAAAGCTGTCCAGAGGAGCTGTTTGTTCTTTCCACTGTGGGAGGATTCAGTAAGAATTCAGCAATCTGCACAAGGGAAGAGGGCCCTCACTAGAACGTGAACCTGTAGCACCCTGATCTCAGAATTCTAACCTCTAGGACTGTGAGACATGAGTCTGGGTGGTTTATAAGTCACCTAGTGTGTGACGCAGTGTCATAGTAACCCAAACCAATTTAGACATGCTAGTGGCATAGCAGGAACTGTGCTATGTAAAGGTCCCTCATGAGAGTGCTTTGAATCTTAAATTCAGAAGACAGTAAATGAACTTCAGGGTGGAGTAGTGTTCGAATATATATTATTTGTATTTGTATCGAAGCAGTCACATATGTGTGTAGAAACTGTTGAACGTTCCCAGGGCCCACAACATCATGAAACAGCCCACCTTCAGTGACATACTTTCAGCATACAGTGAAAACATGTAGAAATCTCTGAATTTCAGATGTCACATTCTTGTAATTGGCTATTTTTCAGAACTGAGGTCTTCTGGTCCTGAGGGAAAGGAGAATTTCATACTCCTTGAAAGGCATAGGTTAGACTGGGCTAGATTGACACAGCAAGGACTCCTGCTGACATGCCTCAGCTGCCACGATAGCCAGCCATCGGCTCTCAGAGCATCTCACTCCCTCAGAAGCCACTGCTTCCACCCCAGATACCACGACTCACATTTGCATAAAGTGGTGGAGCCTCCTGCACAAAGCTATGTGCTGAATCATAGACTCAGAACTGGGAGCAATGTGTGGACCTCTTGAGCCCAGCCCTCCATCCAGGCAAGGTCGTCATCCTCCTCAATTTGAGCTTGTCCTGACATTTACTGCACTTGAGAACTTCAAAGGAGTTTCCCCTTTGTCACAGTTCAGTAAAAAATTCTAACTACGAGAAAATACAGAGTGAGGAGGCCGCTGTGGACCCTGCAGGAGGCTCTCAGAATGGATACACCGCTAAGCACCGTGAGCCCGGGAAGGTGGACGACCTATAGGTCCTGGGCAGTGCCCACAAGAATCATCGTGGTCTCAGCATCCTGCGGGCAGAACTCCAGGCCATCGTCCACCACTCTGTGGAGGGTGCTGTAGTGTTGCCGGCTTGGCTGGAAAGAATGCAGCTCCGAAGCAGCCTCCCAGGCAGCAAAGGTGGGCATGGGAAAGGCATCCGGCCTCTTGTTTTCAAAGAAGCATTTCAGGTTCCTCTCACTGAGCTTGTTGGCATAGTCCACAAACGTATTTTCCAAATGCTCCTTTTCCTTCTGTGTGTATGTCTTCCAAAAATTCAGCTGCAGATAGCTGACTTTAGACCGGCAGCGAGCATAGCACGTGGTGAGCAGAGAGAAGAAGGAGGCTGAACAGATCAGGAACCATCCTAGAATCTTGGGTAGAAAGAAACACTGAGGACATGTGAAAGTGAAATCACATCTCGGGGAACTGAGGCAGTATTATTCGGAAGTGGACAGCTAAGTGAACACCACAGTCCTTACTAGTAATCAAATCATTTATGGTAATTGGTAGACACATTTTATCAGTCAAAATGAAGTCGGTCTAATATTTATTCTCTTACCCAATATTGTTGCTATGCCGTAAAAAATAAATAAACAGAAGACTTGCAAATGGAAAAGAGCAAAGAAAAAATTATTCAAGAATTGGATAAGCCAAGTACTCAAATAGTATGTCTTTCAGGGGGAAGAGTTCTGTGCAGGAGTAATGGTGGTCTTTGGCCACACCTGACCAGTTAATTAGCCACATACTCCTAGGCACTGACAGATGCCTGTAAGGCTGGTGACTTCCACTTTCCCATGAGACGCTGTTTATAGGGTGGTGCTCACTCTCTGGGGCAAAGGCCATTATTTCCATTATTCATGGTAAAAGGAGGCAAACAACACAATAGGGCTACAGCTAGCAGAATTTAAAGCCTGTCTAAATGCTGAGGGAAAAAGCATCATTCCAAACCTTAAAGATTGTATGCTCTGAATTTTAGTAGTTAAAAAAAAAAACAAAACTCTTTTTCTTAACATGAATGGACCTGATGTTTCTGTTTCTGTTTTGTTGTCAATTCTAAAAGGAAAGGATATGTAGTTCAACATATCTTCTAAATACATTTTGTGGTTCAAATTGTTTCTTATAAATGGAATTAATGTTATACTTGCCAAAGAGAAGACCTCTTTGAAAATGTCAAATGAATTTAGTATTCTCTGATAGATGGGTTCATTTGAGAATGGGGACAATAAATGGCAAATGACTCTAGTAGGACCATAGCAGAACAGCGGATGAGCTCCAGACCAATGGCTACAAAACTGCAGTTCAGACAGGGAGTTGGAGAGAAGTGTCGCAGACTTCGTGAAAACGCTTTCCAGGGATGGGCATTCTTTGGCTTTAAATCTCCTTCCCCCTTATTATGTCTCTGTTTCCTCACATGTAAAATGGGGGGCATTGGGGGAATCAGGTGAAATAATGCTGAACACACAAGTGCATTCAGTGAGGGTAGCCACAATCACCCGCTGCTATTTTTAAATGTATAAATATTCATGTAAAAGCATCACTGAACTCGCAGCCTCCTTCTATGCCTATGATTAGTGAGTGAGATACAGCTACCATCATGTGAAAGTTCCCACCTTTGGCTTGAATCATCGATGGGCTTGTGGTTGTCTACCTCACCTCTTCCTTTTCATCATCCACCTTCTTTATCTCCACCACCAGTCCTCTCCTCAGCCATCTTATCTCAGATTCTGAGCTTATTTTAGCTGAGTTATAAACTATCTGACCAGCTTTGATGCCTTTCCACCTCTACACGACCTTAGTACTGAGTCCTGACCGCTGAAACTTCTTGTCTCTCATCCCACCACCCCCATTCACCACACCCAGAGTCCAACAAGAGCGTGCTGGACACTCCCTCGACTGAGTTCTCAGTTGTGTCCTGTTTTGTGTGTCTCTCCTTCCCCGGACCCTGCCAATTTTCTCATCAGCTTGAAATATCCACTGTATGTTTTGTGCCCATTTATGTCCATTGTCTCTAACTCTTCCACCCCTCCAGGGATATACTTGTACCGTGCCACACTACGAAAAAGCTACGTCTCAGAGAGGTGGAACCTCTAGCTCTAGGTCACATAGCTCACGACTAGCAGCCTCAGGATTCAAACCCAAGTTCACCTCCAAGGCTGAGCTCTTCCTCTACTCCATTCTAACACCCTTAAGAGCAGAGAATCACCCAGCTGGTTTTCTTGTTGTTCCACCCCACGCATAGATGAATGTACTTTTTCCACCCCACCCACATGCCCAGTTATTGGCCAGGAGTGTATGCTGCCTCTACCAGCTGAGCGTCATGGTCAGCACCTGCTGTTGCCACAACCTCTTTCCTCCATATCTCTCAGGCATCCTCCCATAGGAATCAGCCCCAGGTCCTTCTCATCCTATGGAAAAGTCAACAGGTGAGTGATTGCCCAGTCTACATTATGACAGAATGCGTATGATTTAAAATCTTGTGCCTGTATTTAGAGAAGCAAGAAGTGTTTGGATATGGTGCTGCCTAAATGGAACCTGGTGCCTGAGGACATCAGACATAAGTTATTCATTCTGTCATAACATTTGTAATTAATGCCTTCCTTCAACAAAAGGAAGCCTGATATGTTTTATCTAAAATGTGCTCTGCGCATCAAACTGAAGTTCTTGTTTTGGGACATCTTTGGCTTATCAGTTCATAAAAAGACTTCACTCCAGTGGCTTTGGAACACATGATTTTAGGAACAGACTTCGCCATGATATGCTGTAAGTGCAAATCCTTGTTGAAAAGGTAAAACTGTACTTCTTTGGTGAGTTTATTTTTGAAATACATAGTATTCCTGACAAATGCAAATCCTTTTATCTTCTGGTGCTGCTCATTTTGGTCTGAGGAATGCAAATAGGATGTCTGTCTTTTCTTTTCTTTTCTTTTTTTTTTCTTTTTATTGAGTTTATTGGTCCAATCTAGGTATACAATACATTCATTACTGGGATCCTGTACCTTTACATGGCAGGTCTTGGTTCTCATTTTTTCCCCTTGTCCCTGCCCTCCCTTCACCCTTCACCCAATACAATACATTCATTACTGGGATCCTGTACCTTTACATGGCAGGTCTTGGTTCTCATTTTTTCCCCTTGTCCCTGCCCTCCCTTCACCCTGCCTGTCTTTTCTAAAGTCCAGGGCAGGGCTATTCACCTGATCCGTATCCAGGTATCTAGAGAGATAACAAGCTACTTCCCTGCACCAATTAGATGAAGCTATGATTTCTTCCTGCTAACTAAAACAGCCTGAATTTTGAGTGTCTAAAGTAATGTAAGAACTTCTTTAGTTCAACAGCACAGAAAAAAAGACCTAATCTCCCTAGAGAATATGGCCACTTTTCACTGATGGCTATTCAAAGACTACTGAGTCATAGTTTAATGGGCAATTCTTCTCAGTCTTGACAATATTTATACACAGAAACAGCAGTGGTTGAAAACCATTCAAGGGAATTGCTACACTAATTATATTACATGCAACTTTTAAAAATATTAGTTTATTTCAGCTCTATTTTAATAGGTGCACATGTGTTTGTGTTTCTCTAAGGAACCAGTTTGAAAATGAATAATGGGTAGACAGCAGTAATTTTTAATTAGTCAGCCATTAATACTCACTTTATGATTTGGTGTTTTGCATTATTTACAAAGCCAACCCAGACAGATGGCTCTAAAGTACTTAAGTATTTACATACACATAACCCAGAGGATATTTTCTTTTTGGAAATGGAAAAGATATAATGCAATCAGCAATTTTACTGAGCATCCAGAAAGCTTTCCTGAGATTGTCTAATGCTACCAGTACATCATGTTCTCATTTTCACTTAGTTTCAAATATCCTGGCACACTGACTCAGCCCTGGCTGAAAGTGAGACAGACGGGAAACTTCAAGCTCATGCTGGGAGCAAGAGGAGAGTTTGTTCTTACCTGAGACTGGGCTTGCAGGGACAGTCTCACTTCCTCACTGTCTGTGGGTAGCATGCTGGTTTTGCCACAAGAGACTTTGTGAAGTTCTTGCCAGCACTCTTTGGGCCTGCCCTTACAAATCAGATCCAGGATTCTTAAGCTCTTCGTCCCACTCATGGCACATTCATAAAAAGTTCCATTAAGCAAAGTCACAGAAAGCCACATAACAGGAGCCACCAGTGAGCTCAGAGTGATCTGGCCAAGCACATAGAAGAAGCGGCCTCCGTGGCCCCTGGGGAAGATTTTCCTGGGGTTTACGCAGCAGCCTGTGAAGAGCTTCCATGCCTCGTTGTTCAGAAAGAATCCTAGGATCAGTAACACCCAGGCAGGAGCAAAAAGGAACACGAGCCCATAGGCCATATTCTCACTGCTGCAGGGACACTTAAAAGCTACCAGTGAGAAGAGACGCTCACTTCCCAAAGTCAGCAGAGCCATGAAGCTGTAGCCAATAGCAGTTTTCTGGTTAAGAAAGAATTTTACAATAGGCTGAAAAGCATCCATGTTGGAGATGCACAGAGAGTGGCAATGCCTTGTCTTTACCTTTGAAACGGTTCTTACTCTCCAGCTTCAGCTCTCTGCTCTGCCCGGTGGCTGGGGCTAGGGCTGTGGCAGTGGACGAGGGTGGGAGGGTGGAGCTTTTCTTTCATTAAAAACAATGTCCTCAAGTCTCAGGCTGAATTCTGTCAGATAAGAAAACAAAGTCATTCCCTAGGAATGCACATTTCCCAAGAGGGTTCAGACAATGCCTCCTACTGGTAGATACTGGGCCGTGAAACCGCAGCCTAATGTGGAGTAAAATAAAAATATGCAGCCTTCTTTTTAATATTATTTCCATGTGGCTTAGATGGAAAAATCAGAAAGAAATTCTCACTTGTACAAGTAATAGCCTAGGAATTTTCCAGCAAGATGAATCAACATTACCAGCCAGTTTGCAGGGCTCCAGATGAAATTTCCAAACCCAGAGTTTCACAATGAAACTTATTTTCTCTTGCTATATGACTTCAGATTTAGAAGACAGGGATTGGTTTGATACCTTTTAAAACTGCGTAGTATTAGAAAATTAAGCCATTTTTTGGGGGATTGGAGATATGAGAAATTTATATGAAGAAGAAACAAAACAAGAGGATCCTCACCACTTCCTTCCTAGACTCCCGCGGTAACCTCTGGATTAGTGCCATCTCCCCATGACCTCATGCTCACCTCACCCCAGCCCTAAATTCATCTTCCATGTGACACGGAGAGTCCTCTAAATCAGATATCTGAATCTGCATTAGCTGGATCCCATCTGCAGGGCCCCCACTGTCCACAGCTGATGGATGTGGATGTCCCCAACCTCATCGCTGCCGTGTTCCATGCCACAACATATCCCTACTACATAGAATCTCAGCCGCTTCTCCACCTTGTCTCCCCGGCAGACACTCACTCAGTATCCAAGTATCCTGACTCTCAACACGCTGCCAAACCTACACTGGATACTTGCTCTCTAATTTGTTCAGTAAGCAGTCACTGGACTCCCACCATGTGCCGGGTACTGTGCTAATCAGGCAAAGCTCAGTAAGTACTGGAACTTACTGAAGAATGAGAGAAAGAGAAATAAAGAGAGAAAAGCCATTCTTGAGCACTTCAAATTATAAATAATTTAAGAAAATAGTTTCCATTTCTCTTCTATACACTGCTCTTAATTTTAAAATTATGAAGGCATCTGAAAAGACATCCTATGCTCATAAATTTCTATTAATTAATAAACTTTAAAATGCAGGCCTGTGTGAAAAATCCAGGCTTTGCACTAGGAGCCAAGGAACAATTATACTATGGTCTTGATTGTGCCATTTGACTTCTCTAAGCACCAGTTTACTCATTGCGAAGCTACTTAAAAGAAATAGTGTCCAACATTTCTTTCACTTCTACATTTGTGAATTTCTCCAGGGCCTGGAAAGAAACAGCCATTCCTGAGAATCACATTATGGCTCCTGTACATTCATCCTAACGACCCCCTGCACCTTCTCAAAGACCGTTGCCCAGTCTGTTTAATGTACTCATTTCCGTTCGCTGTCTCTAGGTTCGATCTTGGAGCCCTTTTGTTCTTACTCTTCAGCCTTTTCCTAGACACTATTAGAATATTCCATAAAAATAAACAGATTTCAGATGCTCACATGGGTCGATAAATTGTGAAGCTAAGTGTGAACCCAGAAGCCCTGACTGCACACTCCATTCTCTTAATCATTGGGCTGCGACCCCTGGGACAGGCTATTTGTGGTCCTGCTAATAGTTACACAAGTGATGGTTACGTTTTTTTAAATCTTCCTCAGGTGGCTTTCAAGATGTACTTGGGAGTTACACCAAGTGTGACCTGTAACAATGCAAGCAGAAATGAATTTTCTCTGATTCTTGACAAGAACCCTCTGTCGGAGTTCGTGGAAGAGCTCCCCACTGGGCGGTCTTCTCTGTGCTACTGCAACTTACTCTGCGGGATTATCAGAGGTGCCCTGGAGATGGTAAGACGCGCGCTTCATCTCGCCAGGTGTATCAGCTGCCTCGTGACACGTAACGGTATCCCTCAGAATACAGCCACTTCAGAGAGTGAACATGTACTTTCTCTCCCAGTCACTGAGAATCAGACATCTGGGGGCAGCATGGCTGGCTGGTTGTGATTCAGAATCTTTCACAGCTTAATACACATGCAGTCCAGTTGATGGACTGGGCTAACAGTCTTATTTTCCAGACTCTTCACTGTTAAGAATGATGGGGCCAGGTAGCAACCAGAACCTACATATGTAATGAGCTACACATGCATTGATCCCCTGTGCATGTAATTTTTAATTATTCATGATAATTAGGAGAAAGATAAAGTCACAGCAATCAAAGACGTGAAACTATGGAAATAATACCATTCACACGGACCCTCCATGCTTCTACACTAACATTTTTTTAAACTTGTCCCTCACCAATGACCATAATATTGAGGAAAGGAAAGAGGAGAGTTCTGGGAGTTCACAGGCAAAGGGAGATACCATAAAACTAAATAAAAAATAGATAAAGAAGTTTATGGGTAGCAGTTGATTATTATATACGCTGAATGAAAAATGGGTGTCAGACTTCATGCGGCCCCAAATACCCAAAAAAGCAGTCTCTGTTATTTTAATTGATTTTCTGTTACATTTCAACAAAGACATAAAATAGTTATGAGGAAAAAGTAGAGGGTAAATTTAGCTTCTATATTTCCAAGTGCAACCCACCTCCTTCTGTTGGTTGGTAGGTAATATGATATGATACAAGCCAGATAATTTTGCCCATGGGATCTATGTTTTATCAAATTCTAGGTGAAAAAATTTTCAGAGAGAGGAAATGAGGCAGATAACCAATAAATACTCATTTAATCATCTGCTAGACCTAGGCATTTTTTCACTTGCACTTTGCCTTTAGTAGGTACTTTCATTTATTTATTTTACTTATTAATGATTTAAAAACTGAATAAACGCCCCACTTAGGGTGGGTTGGCAATATCATGCCGCTGTTAAGTGAACACATTTTAATGAATAGAGAAGGAAGCCCCAAACGGACATGGGAGATGCTTCATGTCTATAATTTCAATCTTTAATTTATATTTATAATTTATAGAGCTGATATTTTTCAAAGCTCCCCAAAGCCATAATTGATTGCTAACTGCTGTTAGACTAAGTGACCGTATTATTTAGAGAATGACAATGACAAATCAGTTTGAGAGGAGTCCTTTTTAAGAATCCACTTATCCTTGGGAGTTCTGCTGGGCCGCATACACTGAGGCAAAGCCATCTTTGATCTGGGAATCTGTGTTCTTCTAGAAAGAGACCTGGCCTGCTGTGTGAGCACAGCTGGACACAGCCTACACATCTGGGCCTCCCTGCCACCTGGGCCAGGCCGGGAACACTGTTGTCTCGGCAGATTCCGGCACCAGCCCACAGGCTGCCCAACCATCTCTAGAGGACGCACATTCTAGGCCCTGCCTCCACAGAAGGGTTTCATGCTCACCGCTCCACACAGAAAGTAACTAAAGGTGTAAAAGAGATTCAGAAAATTTTAGAGTTTTTTTTTTCTAAAGATCTGTTTCTTTTCCTTCTAGGTTCATTTGACTGCTGATGTCACGTTCTTGCAAGACAGACTAAAAGGCGACACTGTGACAGAGATAGGAATAATATTTTTAAAACAGCCAAATGAGAAAAAATATAGACGGAGAAAATGAAGGCTCCGCGTGAAATGCTACAGGGTGGCTAGCTGAGGGGCGCATGTTGGTAGCTGACACGTACAGCCACAGAAAGTTTGAGTTGCTTAGCAGCATGGGCTTTGCAAGGCTTATAGATCAGCCAGAGATTTGAAATGAAAGGTGTGAGGATTTTATTTTGCTTATAAATCACACATTTTCATCTCTCGTCCATGGGCTTTCATATACAAATAACTCCGTATAAAATGGGAAGCATGGATCCCACATGTCCCGCATCCATCCTCACAGCTTTCGCTCCATTTACTTGTGGTAATGGGATAAGGTGTGCCCTGTACAATCAGTTGTCTTCTCCCACTGGAACAATGGATGAAATGATAGAGCATAAACTCATTAAGTGGACACAGGCTCTAGATACTACTTGTGGCATTCTCTGTAGAAACACTGCCCTTTGTAACATTTTCCATGTTCTTATGAAATTATGAGTGATTTTGCTCAAATATCATTTGGCTTATAACTTTAGGAAGTGAAAGCTTGACTTGTAGTCACCATGGCAAGGTATTTATTTGGATGCCTATTCTGAAGAATTTTAAAATAGCACTTGATTTTCATTCACTTTATTTTAAATTTAGTTTATTTTTTTAAATAGTGGTATCTATCTCTTTCTTTTCTCCTGAAATATTGCTGACAGTCAGATGGAAAATCTCTATACTGAGAAGCAAATCATGTTCTTTGAGAATGCTTCCTTACCTCAAAGTTTGTTCACTATTAAATTTTCCAAAAAGGATCAACATGTGCTATGCATGTGTACCAATTTGCCATGACAAATGTATGTATCTATTATGTATCACAAACATATGCTAATAAAAATGGGAAGAAAAAAGATATTTTACCATCATATGTAGCCCTAAAAATCTTCCGAAGAGTATTTTGTCTGTGATAAGCACACATTTAAAATTGAAAATGCACCTAGGTGAGGTACCATACACCTTCAACTCTTGCACTCTGAGAGGCTGAGGTAAGAGGATCCCGTGTTTGAACCCAACAGTATACCAACTCAGCAAGACCGTGTCTCAAAATAAGAAGTGAAAAAAGGGATAGGGGTATGGCTCAGTGCATAAGCCCTGGGTCCAATCTACAACACCATAAAAAAAAAACTGAAAGAAAAGAAAGTGTACTGGATTAAATAAACAATAATCTTCATCAGAGCCCCAGCACAAGGCAGAAAACTAACTTTACAAGGAAAAGCTATAGTTACTGTGACACCAGGAGTTAAGACTGCTGTAAATGGAGCCCAGGATATAGTTGGTAGTGGAGCCCTTGTCTAGCATGCATGATATCCAGACTCTGACTCATAACTCGGAAAAACAAACAAGAAGCTGAAGAAATGATACGGATAGAAATAAACTAGAATTCCCATTGTTCTGTTTCTAGCCCTTCAGATCACTGAGATGGGTGGATGACCCTGCACAACAGCTTTTCTCTCTCTCTCTCTCTGAATGAAAGGATAACATATGATAAATACCAAAAATAATATCAGTATATTTAAGTGCCATAGATAAACACTGAAATGCCAGTCTTTCGGACTCTAGAAGACCACCAGGAAATGCTCCCCTCTACCTAGCTGACTCTGGGCCATTGAGGCAGCGCTGAGGACCAGACAGACTCCCTGGAGCAGCTGCGGCACCAATGGGAGGATCTTCAGGCCTGCAGCACAGAAAAGGAATAGAATCTGGAAGAAGATATCTCCCAGTGGAAGGGATGTCATGTATTTTAAACCGGTACCTCCAGAAGAAGGCTTGCTTTCAGTCCACCTAAAAACTTACTTTTCTACCATCTGATCAACTGCTTTTTTGTCCATAGTTCACTTACCTCTTCAGGAATGAATGGAGACCCATATTTAAGGACCTCCTTAAATCAGCACCCAAGGAGCTCCCTTGAAAATGTTCTATTGCCTGAAGTATTCTCCAGCCTGCCCCCTCCCCCTTCTCTCCCAACCCCACTATCAAAGCCCACCCACTAAAGGCACCTTCACCTGATATTCTTAGCGGTGCGGTGTGTTGGAACTGGTAATGGCTACAAGGTGGGGCTTCTTCCCCATCCTTTATTTTTCTCAGCCTGGAGGGAAGGGGCTCCTTTGATTTTGATGCATGCTATGAAACATGACCTATATGCCTAAAAGAGTGGCTTGTTCACATTCACTGTGTTCTCCATCCTGAGGAATGGGAGAATCGAGAAGTTGCACTGTATTAGAATTAAGAGAGCCATATATATCACCTTGAATTTTCTAATAGCAACCTTAAATGAATATAAACAGGTGGGTAAGGGATTTAGCTTAGCGCCACGCACTTGCAAGGTCCTGAGTTCAATCACTGGTACACACACACACACACACAAATATATATATGTATATGCGTATATGTCTATATAACATTAACTTCAATAATATATTTCATTTATACCAAGTATCTAAAACACCATTTCATTATGGATGTTTTACCTACTGAATTCTTGATACTGGATTCATTTTACACTTTCAGCACATTTCAATTCACTGCTAAACTTTCAGTTTACAGTGAAATACAGTCCTTCTAAAACCGTAAAATTTCGATTAGTGGTGTTTAACAGTTTTCATTTTTAAATCTAAGTCAATTAAAATTAAACTACATTAAAAGCTCAGGCACACTGGTGATATTTGAAGTAATCACCATCTAACACCATAATGGACATCACTGGTCTAGAATTCCCAGTCAGCCAGCGGCTGTTGGACCTGTGACACACACAGAAAAAGCAACGGAGAGGACCCAATGGCATTGGCAGCAAGGGAAAAGATGGGTAGGAAAAATAAAAAGAAAGAAAGACAGAATAGCTAAGGGAAACCAGTGGAAGGAGACTGAGAGCTCCATGAAATGTGCTCTCTCCTGCTGAGCCATGACCCAAATGAGCTCGAAGGAGAGACGGCCCCCACCCCCTGGGCTGCCAGTGTGTTTGCTGCTATTCTGTAATTTTTCTCATAAAGGGCTTGGAAGTTGTTCAGCATAACTACAAGATCATATTCTATTTTCATTTCCTAAAAATCCTAAATCTTGATCACAACAAATTTTTTTTTTAAAAAATCATTTCAGCAATGTTTGGGGCAGAGAGATAGTTTAGTGTTGCTCAAATGACACCACCAGACTGTGCCCAAGGCTGTACATTAAGTACAGATGCCAGGAATCAGAAACAATTCTGGCAGCATTCTGTGTGCTTATTTACTGACCCCACAAACCTATCGGTTTCATCTATTAGCTGCTAAAAGCTTGGATCATTTTAGCACCTGATATGGACTGTTGTGAAGTTCGCTGTTCTCCCTGATTATAAAAGTCCAAAGTAGAAACGTGGAAAATCAAGGGCTTGAAGTGAGAAAATAATAAAAATTTTGTAATGAACAAGACCACTGTAACAAAGATCTGCTTTTATTTTGACTAAGGCTTGCTAACTACCAAGGGACACAGAGACACTGACAGATACCCCAGCTGTTAGGGTCTCTCCAGTTAGGGCTGCGGACCCTGGTGTTCACTTCACAGCTTCTTAATCCACCAGCTGTCCATGCCAACAGCATCTGCATGGTAACCCTGAGGAAGCCCACTTTGGAAACAGCTTCTCAGCCATGGAAACTTGGGAGACAGAAGGCCCATCATCCTTCATCTTCTTAAGGAGGGCTAAATTTTGTTTATTCCACCTAGTGGCATGTTCTTGGAAAGATCTCTCCAGTTGCTGCACTCCCACATCCTGGTAAAACCTCCGGAATTTCGGCTTGGACATGAGCAATGGTCAGCTAACAGTGTCTACATAAGCCGTTGTTGGGCGGGAAAGGACGCAGTGCAGGTGATGCAGAGGAACCTGAAAAACGCCCAGTTCTTGTTCCATCCATGCCTGTCTCCCTAACACTGAAAACAAGGTCCAGCCACAAAGATCACTAGAAAAATTTTATTTTTCAAGTGTTTCACTAGAGAGGAGCTAAACAAAACATGAAAAGTTGGAAAGCCTTCACTAAAAACAGTTCAGAAACAGATGTCCTGAGAATTTCTTGTTACCCCTCACACTCAGTCTCTGCCTTGTGCGATCCAATCTCTTCCTGCTTGTCTCCTCTCTTTTGTTTTCCATTTGTCTTCTAGCAGCCCTATTTCTTCTCTTCTTTTAAGGAATTTCCTGCAATTCCTCACTTCTTCCTTAAAGCTACTTCTATTTCCTTTTTTAAAAATATACTTCATGCGCTGGACTTCTACTGACCTGCTCAACAACAAAATAATATTTTTCTGCTTAGGAGCCCACCCCGAATCAGGGCCACCCACACCTCAGAGAAAGCCACCTTTATTCATGGCTTTGTTGCTCTTACCAACACACGGGGGCTGATTGCAAATGTATGAATCTATTCCCTCATTAGGCAGACCTAAGCCAATCCATGCATGATACTCCTCAGACAGCAATCATTGGTTCTTTCATTATAATTTTCATCCTATGATTGTGGTAAAAGTTCTCTCTTGTTTCTCCCCCCACCCCACTTCGGTTGCTACTGACATAGGAAGAAGGACAAAGATGAATTAATTGAAAAAAAAAGCCAGTCTGAGCCAGGCACAATGGCACACGCCTGTAATCCAGCACTTTGGGAGGCTGAGGCAGGAGGATCACCAAGTTTGAGTCTCACCTGAGCAACTTAGCGAAACTCCCCTGTTTCAAAATTAAAAAGTGCCCAATGCAAAGCCTCTGGGTTCAATCCCCAGTCTACAAAGAGAAAAAGAAGGAAGGGGATAGGAGGGAACCTGCCCTGGCTCTGAAATTTGTTCACATGACTCAGTAAATACACAATCATCTTTACAGGAGTAGATTTGAGTTTTTGTTACTTGCAATAAATTGGATCCAACATAATGCATTCTCCAAATCTCAAATCCCTATTAATGGTAATGCAATAAAGTGCACTGCATGATCAAAAGGCGATAGATCAGATAATGTGGAACATATCAGAGAATAGCAAACAAAACAATTTATTGTTCTATTTTTCACATGCTTAAATGCTCTGTTCTGGTTGAATGTGGATGTGCACGCTCTCCTCCTCTCTGAGAGGAAGAGACACCTGGAGGTGAAGAGCCAAGGCTTGCACTGCAGAGGGTATCTGTTCAGCAACCGAGACCCAGAAGGAAGATCCCACAGGCAGAAGGCACAGAGCTAACTCAGTGGCAGCTCTTACAATGAAACAAAGAAAAGACAGACTCAAGTTCCTGCTTCAGTTGTTTCCACCAGAAACTTATCAGGGATCACTTGAGAAGTCCAAAGTCAGAACAATCCCCCAATCTCAGGAGCTGCCCCATGATACAGATCTTCCAAACCAGCTGATTATGTTTAGTGACTTTAGGAGAGTGGATGAATCACATAGATTCTGATGACTATGAAGAGGAAGTTCTAATTTCTAGTGATGTGTGTGGATCAAACATTGGAATACCTGAAAATGCTACTTGCTTGACTTTGGGTTTCACTAACTTTTTTATCAGTTATAAAACAACAGTCTATTGGGGGGTATTAAGTCAGTCAAGGGGGAGAAGGCATACGTTATGAAACTACACAGGCACTAAGTTTACCAGTGCTTTAAATGCATAAAGATGTGAGGCTGGTAGTCAAAGGGAGTTGGTGATGGCTCCCAAGGACTGGGCCTGGTGAGTGGAAGGCCATATGAGGAGGACCAGCTTAGGAAAGAAACTAGTAAGCCATAGTCAAGGAAACCAGGGACTCAGAAGAGGGTCTGGCTAGACGTGGTGGTACACGCCTATAATCCCAGTAAATGGGAGGCTGAGGCAGGAGGAACACTGCAGTTTGGGACAGCCTGGGCTACATAGTGAATTCAAGGCCACCCTGAAGTACATAGCAAGGCCCTGTTTCAAGCCCTGCCTGCTAAAAGTACACAGAGAAGGGAAAATGGTGGCCACAAGCCACGTTTCAAAGGAACCAGTGTTTGGAGTGTTAGGTGCTACAGAAAAGCCAAGAAAGTTAAGCAAGAAAAGGAAAGCTGGGGTTGGTAATGAGAAGGTCTTCATCTCACAGCAATTTTCAGGACTGCCATAGTGGGTTTCGGAGTCAGTGGGAGGTGTGAGGCTGTGCCAAGATGATTCTTCTTCTAAGGAACTTGACCTCAGATGGGAAGAGACCTGGGGTGCTTGGTGCACAGGTGTGCTGTTTGCTCATTCATGTTTTCAGAGTGTGGGGATTTGAAAATGGAGGAGAGAGAGAGAATAAATGATGATGCAGGTGTGGGAGGCTGCGATACTGATTGTGCCCAAAGCAGCTGTAAGCCGGGCAGGCTGTGAAGCGTGAACCCTACAACTGGCTCTGTGTGGGCGTGCGTCGGCTGAAGCCTATGTGCCGAGGTCAGAGTAACTCGCTTGCAAATCCGTTCCTACCACCAAAACCTTCTTAACTAGAAGGACGATGTTCTAATTACAACCATATGTCTGGTCCATTCTGCTCCTAATTCGACTAGACTTTGTCTTGCCTTTTATGAGTCTTGCTTACGTTAATTTCCATAGAAACCGCACAACTGCGCATCCTCACACGTACTCCTGCCCTTGAGCGTAGCTTGTCTTTACCACAACTGATTACCAATAAAAGTCAGCGATGTGGACTAGCCAGCGCTTTTGTTGACTGCACCAGCACTGGTCGTCTTTCTATTGCTCTTAGATCTCCTAGGTTTTTGGTTTTTGGTATTTGCCGCCCCCCACCCCCACCCCGTCCCTCGCCTACACTGAGTACTGGAGCCTATGCAGAGGTTTCCAGTAACGTTTCAGGGGTGCCAGTATGAGGCCAATGTGTGCCTTCCATAAAATACCCAATCTTTCAAAAAGGTATTGTCATTGTCCCCCAAGTCCCCCAAAGCTCCTTCAGAGCTGGGGAGCATTCTGCCACATCATTATTTTTAGAGGTTCGCCTGTGACGGGATGGGAGGCAATTGTGGACTGTTGGGAGGAAGTGTCAAGGGACCATTCTTTGCAGTTGGTAAACTTGAAAATGCTTTTAGGCTTAGGAGCAAGAGCCAGTGGAAGAGAAGGAGGGATAACTGATATGGTAAGGTCCTTGATGAGATTGTGGAAACTGGAGAATTATTATTATTGTTATTGTTTTGTAGTACTGGGGCTTGAACCCAAAGTGTTCATGCTGAGTTACATCCCCAGCTCTTTTTAATTTTTTGTTTTAAGACACGACCTTGCTATGTTGCTAAGTTGCCTGGGATGGGCTGAAACTTGTGAGCCTCCTGTCTCAGCCTCCCAGAGTACTGAGACTACAGGCCTGTGCCACCACACCCCACTCT